GTGGGGAGAGGGGCAGCTGCTTTTCTGGCAGGGGCATGGGTGCCAGGTACAGCGCGGAGAGCTGGGCCGAGCATGCTGAGAGCTTGGGGGACCCGACGCCGGCCGGGATTTCCGTCTCTCTCTCTCTCTGTACATATCCAAACGAGTCCCTTGTACATGTATTTAACCGTGGGTACACGTGCGTGTGTCTGTGCGGTGTCCGTGTGGTCTGCATGTGTGCGTGTGTGGGGCCGCCCGCGCGGGGCCAGAGCGAGTGTGCGCCCGGGAGGCAGCGGGGGCGTTGTTTGTCTCGTGACTTCGTACCTCTCAAGCCCCTCCTTGTACTTCACTTAATGATGGCACTTGGGTGGGGTTGGAAACAAATCAGACATTAAAGGTCATTTCTCCTGTGCGCCTTTGAGCAGTTTGTGAACGGGGCGGTGGGCAGGATCTGGAGTCTCCTTTTCCCCTTCAGGTTTGTCCCCCGTCCATCCCACTGGTCCTGTGGCCAATAGTTGTGCTGGGGCCCCTTGGCCCCCCTTCACCCTTGCCGTTACTGCCCTCCAGGGCTAAACAGATCTGACCCTGTGGCTGAAAGTGAGCCGGTGGATTGGTCCCATAAATCCTGCCTGCCTGCTTTGGACCCTTAGCAGTATCTAATCCTTCTGCTGTGGACAACACTGGGCAATGTCTGGTCTGGTCCTAGGGACCCCAATCCTAGCTGGGGCTCTGTGGCCAGGATAGTAGGCGGGCCTGTCACTTGAGAGGGGATGGGACTCAGAGAGATGGATTGGTTCCTTTCACCTCCTCCCTGCACCCCAAGGCCAAACACTCCATTATTTACCTGTGTCCACGGAACCCGATAAAGAAGTCCAGACTGAAGGATTTTCTGGATAAGATATGGATCCAGGTGACCAAGCAACATACATGAGCACAAAAAACCTCATAAGCTCGGATCACTGAGGAGCCTGCCTGGGAAAGAAGCACTGAGGAAAGTCACACAGAGAGGTGGAGCATACCTGGGAGAAGGTAATCTCCACTGATTTACTGCATGACCTCAAGAGTCACATGCCCTTTCTGGATCTTGGTTTCCCATCTGTGTAATGATGTAAGTTCTTTTCTGCCTCTAAAGGCCTCCAATTTGGTAAAATAATATTATTATTATAAATATAAATATAGGACGGGGAACAAAACGGAGCATTTTTCTTCCCTAAAATTCAAAAAAAGCATGACAGGAACACACCCACCTCAATCCCTTTCTCTTCCCACTTTGCTTTTCCTTTGCTGAGTTTCATACTTTTTCAAATGGCAGGAGACTTTTCTAATAATGTTAGTGCATCAATCATTTATTCTATAGGTGATTGAATAGAAAATGCTTAGTGAAAAGGAGCAATAGGGCGCCTGGGTGGCTCAGTCGTTAAGCGTCTGCCTTTGGATCAGGTCATGATCCCAGGGTCCTGGGATCGAGCCCCACATCGGGCTCCCTGCTCCATGGGAAGCCTGCTTCTCCCTCTCCCTCTCCCCCTGCTTGTGCTCTCTCTCTCTCACTGTGTCTCTCTCTGTCAAATAAATAAATAAAATCTTTTAAAAGAAAATAAATAAAAAAATAAAAACATATTTTGTATTCAAACAGAATTTAGTTTAAATCCCAGCTATACTACCAACATGCTGTGCAACCTGGGGCAAGTCATTTACTCTCTCCAAGTCTTAGTTGCCTTGCATTTAAAATGGAAATTGTTTTTAATTTAATATTGCCATAAAATATTTTTAGCTCTGAAATTGAGGGGTGAGTTAATCATGTTTCTCCATCATAGCACCTCATTGTATTTTATTGATTTATTTCCTTTCATTTCCATTTCCCTCTGCCTACACCCTTAGGCAACTATTTTGTGTTTGACATTATTTGAAGTTTTTTTGCAAAATGTGTGTGGTTTTTGGTGTGTTACTTAAATAGTATTATGTTGTAAATCTCCATTCTGTTTCCTATCTGTTCATAAAGAATGATGTTTTTAAGATCTTTCCATAGAGCTATATGCACATGCCATCCAGGGCTCTAAGTGCGACACAATGACTGTGCTAGGCATCTACCCCACTCTACTTTTCTATAATTCCCAGTGAGGGACACCTAGGTTCTCGCCAACTCTCTGTCACCATAAGCAGCACGGCTCTGAATATACTCACGCATGTCCCCTTATGGACCTGTGCAAAAGTTCTTTGAGATCTGTGCCCTGGAGCAGAACTGCGGGGTCAAGAAGTCTGTATATATAATTAATGAGACCAAGTAGGGCCAGAGTCTCCAGTACCGCTTCACAGCCTGTGCCCCCACCAGCCATGCAGAAGGCTCCCCCCTGTCCCCACAACCCTACCTACATCTAGCACTCTCCAGCTTTCTGATTTTTGCCAGCCTAACAGATACGTTGTATCTCTTTGTGGTTTTCATTGTAATTTATTTGACTCCCTAATATTTTGAGCATCTTGGTCTATGTTCATTAGCCCTGAGGTTTCCTGTTTTGTAAATTGCCCGTTCATTTTCTTTGCCCACATTTCTCCTGGGAATGCTCTTTTTCTTGTTGATTTGCAGGAGTTCCTTATATATTCTAAACATCGATGCCTTTGACTGTCTTAAACATTGGAAATATCTTCTCGCATCCTTGCCTCATAGTTTATCTTTTTGAAGTGTTAAGTCGTCTTTCTTTCACCCCCTAGATCAAAAAGATCGTCCTTTACGTTGTCTTCTTTTACCTTTAAAGTTTTACCTTTCACATTTAGGTCTTTAATACCTCTCATATTCACTATGGAAATAAATCGGTGTCTGCTTCAAGGCCTTTCTGTAGGACAAAATAATATAGCTAAGCGCCTAGCGCAATGCTTCCGACCTAAGAGCTGTGCGAATGCAGGTGATGCCGATTATCGCTGGGCTAGAAAGTGGTAAGCGCTGCCCCGGGAAATCGAGAGAAATGGGAGCTTAGGTGCTGGTTAGCTAGACCAGGAAAGGTTTTAGGGGTGAAGCGGAAGTCATCGAGGTTGGCCCTAAAAAGGAATGTCGGATTCGCTCACTGTGAGATGGAAAGGCGAGCACTCCGGGCAGAGAAGGCGGCCTGGGCAGAGCCGTGGCGGCGGGGGTGCGGCGCGTTCGCGGCGTTTAGGCGGAGCACGCGGAGGAGAGGGCCCGACTACTCACGAACTGCTGTCTGTCTTTCCGCCCCTGTGCCCACCCCACCCCTCCCCGCTGCAGGCTCCCTGTTCTCCACCCTGAAGCCCCCCGACGCCGTGTTCAAGGTGGTGTTCTGGCTGGGCTACTTCAACAGCTGCCTCAACCCCATCATCTACCCGTGCTCCAGCAAGGAGTTCAAGCGCGCCTTCGTGCGCATCCTCGGGTGCCAGTGCCGCGGCCGCCGCCGCCGCCGCCGTCGCCGTCGCCGTCGCCTGGGCGGCTGCGCCTACACCTACCGGCCGTGGACGCGCGGCGGCTCGCTGGAGCGCTCGCAGTCGCGCAAGGACTCGCTGGACGACAGCGGCAGCTGCCTGAGCGGCAGCCAGCGGACCCTGCCCTCGGCCTCGCCGAGCCCGGGCTACCTGGGCCGCGGCGCGCCGCCGGCCGTCGAGCTGTGCGCCTTCCCCGAGTGGAAGGCGCCCGGCGCGCTCCTGAGCCTGCCCGCGCCCGAGCCCCCCGGCCGTCGCGGCCGCCACGACTCGGGCCCGCTCTTCACCTTCAAGCTCCTGGCGGAGCCCCAGAGCCCCGGGGACGACGGCGGCGCCAGCAACGGCGGCTGCGAGGCCGCGACCGACGTGGCCAACGGGCAGCCGGGCTTCAAAACCAACATGCCCCTGGCGCCCGCGCAGTTTTAGGGTCCCCCCCAGAGGTGGGGAGG